ATGTCACTCACTGTCATTTACGTATAATGCATGAGGGCGATGCCCCACTTCACTCGAAGTCAGAAAATTACAGAAAAAAAATCAAAAAATCCGATTTTTTGAGAAACTCCTATAAATCAGAAAATCGTCAGTATCCCGAGTACTAGCAAAAATTGAGCGGTCATTAATATGAGTTAGATTACCAACCTGTATTAGTGGCCAGATAGTATTTAACTACCTGTCTTATGAGTTCTTTATTGGCAAAGAAAGAGGAAAAAAAGTTTTTGGAAATTTTCTAAAAAATCGTCGATATCTCGAAAACTAGCAACAATTGAGGAGCCATAATTCTGTGCTAGATTCCCAGCCTACAGGGATGGCCTGATAGCATTTAACCAGCTGTTTAATGATTTTTTTGTTCTTTTTTATTAAAGAAAAAAAAACCTTAAGTTTTTGGGAAACTTCTGAAAAATCTTAAAATTGTCGATATCTCGAAAACTAGCAACATTTGAGGGTTCATATTCCATTTGAGGGTTCAATTCGATGCAAACTTTGGTGCAGAAAGCGAAAATTACCATTTCCAGACCCAAAACAAACTGTGCATGAAAACATTTTTTTCATTCTTTGACAGAGGGTTGATCTAAAAATTTGTTCTGGGTCTATGTAAGAAATTCGAATAAACGATGTCAAAAATCATCCTTGAAAACAGGCATTTTAGAGATTTGCGCTCAATTTTGTTCACTGGCATGTTTATTCAAGGCGAGAGTTTTTAAAAGCATAAAGAAACAGTTCTTCACTGAAATTTACGCTACTTCAGGGCTTTTCTAAATAAAAAAAAAACGTTATCAATAACAAGAAAAACTAATAAATAGGGAAGAGCAAATCAATAAACAGATTCAGTAATAAAAATTAGGAAGATAACGCAGTTGCCTCAGTGACAACTTGAACAAACTGCCTAATTGCAAATATCGGCTGAGGTTTGAAAGGTTCGTTCAACCTCCAGTGAATAAAAAGTACACATTAACTGAACCATTTTATGCCGCTATTCCCAAGAAATCGAATAATAACAAGTCAGATAATTTGAAAAGGCGATTACCAATGCACCAAAATAACTAGCAATATCTAGACGTAAACAATTTTTCCCGCTAGAGGTTAAAAATCTTCGAAGGAGAAATTTAAGCTTTTGAAATTAATGACGTTTTTCATAACCTAACGAATCATTTTTAAAGTCAATTTTTAAGTAAAGTTTAAAGATACGATTAAGGGCAAATTTAGAGACAAGCCCTCAATCGAATTCGTATCTATCCCCACTCGGCCTTGGTACCGGTCGTACTACTGATACCTTATGTAGATGGGTGGCCTTGGTGAACCATTTAGGGGGTCAAATTATGAACGTTCTAAAACAATCAGTTCATTTACAAAATATTTACAATCCGGATCAATTGAAAACATAGTTGTATAAATGCCCATGGGAAATCCAAGGACATGGGAAAACTCTTTGATACTTAAGCCGACAATTTCCATATTGGACCAACTTGAAACCCAACTGTTGAGAGTGGAGAAAGTTCGCATATTGCAGAAACGTAGCAAATGTTTTTCCCACTTTCGTATACATTAGAATGAATTTATAATGATGCAAAAATCACAAATCAACAATTGAAAAAATAAAGGTGTGATTAACTGAAACAACAGAACGAAAATGATTACAAATTTTGGAGTTCAAAAATATAATTGAAAAAGATCATGAATGACTCAGCAACTTAAATTAAACATGATTATTGTTCCGACTTTCGATACGAAAGTAACGGAATATTTGTGCTCGGGGTGGGTTTTTTTTTTCTTCAGACAAATTTCGACTTTTTAACTAGCCATTTTTGACTGAATTTTTTAATATCATTCAAAAGGTATTGTTGTCCTGAGCTTAAATTTGAAAAGATATTTCACCTGTGATCATTTTTCGCAAAGTTAAGAGGGTTTAAAGATTGCCATTTTGACCAAATTGGAACAATTAACGCGCAATATAATTCGCGCTATTAACGCGTAAGCGAGATTTAATCCGTCTTATAAATCGTTCCAAATTGGTTGAACGAAGCTTATTTGCCATAATTGATTTGTTACAAGGAACGAAATCTATCTTTTTGTAATTTATATGGCGTGTGGGGGGATGATTTTCATAAAAAATTTCAAATTGTAGAAAAAAAATTTCATTTTATTTTATTTCATTTATTTTTTTATGTATTACTGCTGCTCAATAAACCTTAAAAGGCAGTCGGAACATTCAGGGCTTCGCCCTGATACGAGCAGTCTTGTTATATTTAGTATAGAAACGAACGACGTCAAATTTACGCAGCAGTCGATATAACAAAATCTGCTGTACTTTCTTTTCTATTCAAGCAGTGTCAAAACATTACAAAGACCGAAAACAAAATGAGCCAAAAAATTATCATCAGAGCCGAAAACAAGATGTCATAGAAAAATTGTGAGCCATAATGTTTTGAATTTCGAAATTTTAAAACCCCATAACTCCTGACACAAAAACATAACGAATAAGGCGAGTTTTGAAATTTGAATTAAAACATGCCAAGACAACAGAATGTGAAATTAGCATCGAAAGAAAAAATAATAAGCGGTAAGAAAGCCGAAAATATCTTGGAAGAAACCTTTTGAGCCGAAAAAAAAAGACTGAAGTAAAATTATCAAGTCCCGCTCACCCTCAAAACAATCACACAAAACTTAAATTGCTCGAAACCTATGAAACAGAAAAAAGCCGAAAAAATGCTATTATGATAAACTTTAGATTCGATTAATTTTTTTAGTATTTCGTGCAATCCAGGGATGGTATTCACATTATGTTTCCCATGAAAACATTGAAAAAAGGTCAGGAAGTCGATTATAAGCCGAAATCATTTGGGCAGAATAAACTTTGTAAGCCAAAAAGAAACAAGACTGCTCGTATCAGGGCGAAGCCCTGAATGTTCCGACTGCCCTTTAAGGTTTATGGAGCAGTAATAACATTAAAAAATTCAATGAAATGAAACAAAATGAAAATTTTTTTCTTCTAAAATTTAAAATTTTTTATGAAAATCATCCCCCCCCACACGCCATATAAAGTACAAAAGGATAAATTTCGCATCTTGTAACAAACCAATTATGGCAAACAAGCTTCTTTTAACAAATTTGGAACGATTTCTAAGACGGATTAACTCTCCGCTTACGCGTTATTAGCGCGAAATATATCGCGCGTTAATTGTCCCAAATTGACCAAAATGGCAATCTTTAAACCCCCGTAACTTTACGAATAATAATCACAGGTGAAATATCTTTTCAAATTTGAGCTCAGGACAACAATATCTTTCGAATGATATAAAAAAATTCCGTCAAAAATGGCTAGTTAAAAAGTCGAAATTTGTCTGAAGAAAAAAAAAACCCACCCCGAGCACAAATATTCCGTTACTTTCGTATCGAAAGTCGGAACACAAAAGAGAGGTTATACGAAGTCAAGGCTATTAAGATTACAAATAAACAAAAAACTAAAACACTAAAAGCAACTACAATGTAACTTGCGTACAGCAAAAAAAAGTATGATGTGGCAACTAAGCCGACAAAACATAAGCAGACAAATAATAAGCTGACATTTTTTGAAATGGAAAATTTACCGTTTGAAACGAAAAAAAAACATATCCTGTCAGATTTGAAGCCAAGACATTTTCAGGCGTATTCTTTACTTCCAGACCGAAAGTACCGGAGATGCAAAAAAAATTGAATTCATTGTGAGCTGAAACTAAATTTACTATCTCTAATTTTAACCGTGAAAAAAAAAGTTTTTTTTTTTACGGGGAAAAAAGTCTAACACCCGATAGCAATAGCCTTGCTTATCGCAAGGATTTTTAAAAAATTAAACATTTTCACAAAGCCAATATGAAATAAAGATAGCCGGTTACTGTGCTAGCATAGCAGCACAGAATGTTCCGATAAAAGTCTTAAAAATATCAGTGTCGTTTTTTCTGTGTGATGTGATAAAAGGATCTGAACGGAAAAGTAGAATAAGCATATTTGACAATCATAGTAAAAACAAGCATATTAGACAAAAAATTTTGTCGAAAAACCACTAGTAAAGCGAAAAAAAATCGTAGAAAAAATTTTCAGGTATTTTTCGAGTTTTTGATTCCTAGAATGACGCTAAAAATTCTAAACACTAACTTTTACTTCAAAAAAAACTAAATTTTTAAGGCTTAAATTAGGCATAAATAATCTAATATCAGCCTGCTCTCTCGCACGAAATTAGACATTAATCAAAACATTTCAGACCGGTTTTTCTCGACAATTTTTTTTGGAAATTTTATGTCGTTCGATTAAGACGTAAATGGCTTTAATTTGATATATCATTAGACTCAGATTATATTACCAGTGTATTTGTGGCACCAAACTATACCAGTGTATTTGTGGTACCTGATTTTGCGTGAAAAATCAAGTTGAAAAAACAAAAATGAAAATACGAAGTTCCTCCCCATTTTCAATGGTCGGAACAACAAATCGGAGTGGAACTTTTCAATGTTCTCAAATACAAAAGTTAACATCATTTCAGCTAAGAAAACTTGAAACCTATATCTCGATGGCTAAGTCCATCTCCGGGCTCCGGAAACCCTTCTCCAAAAAAATAAACCACAAAAACTGAACATTATTCTGTTACGTTTGCTTCTTTTTTCAAATATAAATATATTAAAAATTATCTGCTTAATTCTGCATCAATTACTCGGTCGAAACGCTCCAGTACTATTCGCACAGCAACCAGAAAATTTGGTTCATTGCTAAAAAGTCTTACCAGCATTAAAACTTACCGATATAGGACACTAGATCTTAGGCATGCAATTGTCACTAGAGACAGCTAAAGAAGACACATAAGAACATTTTTCCTCTGGCCAAAAAGTCACAGAGCCTGTTGAAACTTTGAAAGAAAATTGTCTGACCTAATTCACTGGTCAGCAAAAAAGCATTCCAAAATATGGTCAAAATTAGATACTAACCTTTTAGTCGATGACTCAAAAAGACAACCGCAAATTAGACTTTTAATTCAATTTTTTCTTTCTTTTTTGAAGTCACTAGTACTAAGATAAAAAGCTACAAGATTTGTAATATTAATTTAACTCCTAAAACTTGCAAACAACTGTAGAACTAAAGAGTGAATGGCAATAAATGTTTCTTCTTTTTTGCAAATACTTGCTAAAGGAGTGCAAATACTTGCTATTACTATTTTGAGCTTGACATTTAAAATTGATGTGGTTATGCAGGCTTGTTAAATGCAAACACTCCGATAAATTTATCAGTTCCAGGAAAACAAATGAACAAAATTTTTCGTCATAAAACGAGCGGCTACGTCTATCAAAGCATTGAAAATGTACCAAATCGGGTTAAATGAAAGATAAAACACTGGTCGGTTTTAAAACGCGAGACAAGTTTATTCATATAAGGTATCTACTTAACTCTACACGACTTCAAACCCACTGATATATTATATTATATCTAACAATAATAACAATCAATCGGCTGAACCAGGAAAATAACTCAGAGGTGAAATGAGCATTCAGTACGCGATTCTTATCGAAGGAATAAAGAAAATGTAGCATATAGAACTTACCATGGCTTAGTATTACCAATGGTTCAATATTTATGTCATATAAGTGGTAGACCTAATAGTTACATAGCATAAGAAACGTACACTAACCAACAGTGTAACCAATAAATGAGAAGTGAAACAAATTGCTTTAAAAAAGACAATATTCAAAATCAGGAAACGCAAAAAAAGTACTTAAAATAGAATCTGTCATAAAAGCTCATTTTGACAACGTTAGACACTCAAAAAAATCAGAAATAGAAAAAGAAACGGTGTTCTATAGAAAAAAAACAATAGCAAATTTATTGTCTTTCAAAAATTAAAGACAAACGAAGTACAGCTGGCAAATCTAGCTCAAATAACAATTTGTTCCAAACAAAAATATTAACAAAAAATAAAGGTTAAAAAAGTTTAGTGTTTATGTAATCACTTTTGATTATAAATAAAACGATTTAAAATGATAAACAAAATAACTTTCAAAATATTGAAAATGACATTTATGAAAAGCAGGGTTGAAGAAGATTTTTCCATCATTGAGCAAATACAATGAGCTTTTTGCCATTTTCGCGTATTTCAATTTCTTTCAGTTGAACTCGACCTTCTAATACTTTTCTACCAATCCCCATTTTACATTTTACGTCATATAAAGTATTACAGCACCGAGGATCTGTTTACAATTCATTTGACGTGGAACTAAAAATACAATTTGGTCAATGTTTATTAGGGTATCGTGTCTCGTCTAGGTTAAAACACGTGGAGCTGACGAAATCGTGATAAAGTTAACAAACCGATTAGCTTTCCACTTCGCTTTCATTAGTCATATTAGGAGCTCCGTTCTTACAAACTATGCATGCATGCAGCCCGCTTATTTAGTTAAATACGGTCGTCCTGCTTAACCGCAAATGATTACAAGACCTATAAAATCAACAAGAGTATAAATCGAAATTTTTAAAATATTTTATGGAAAATTGGTTTAGCATGTTTTTTCTTCAAAAATTGGACCAACCAAATAATTAAACAAAAACTCAAGATAGCAAAGAAGGCAATCTAAGAAAACTTAATTTAGCTTTAAGGTTTTCTTCATTACGCCAAGATCATTTAACTAAAATATGGCTATAGCCATAATTAAAACTTCTTAAACAAACATATGAACAAAATTGTTCCACCATCTTGTATTATCAGAAAAATTCTAGCCTTATTGTTCCGACTTTCGATACGAAAGTAACCCAATATTTGTGCTCGGGGTGGGTTTTTTTTCTTCAGACAAATTTCGACTTTTTAACTAGCTATTTTTGACGGAATTTTTAAATACCTTATTATTTTTCGTAAAGTTACGGGGGTTTAAAGATTGCCATTTTGGGACAATTAACGCGCGATATATTTCGCGCTATTAACGCCTAAGCGGAGAGTTAATCCGTCTTAGAAATCGTTCCAAATTGATTAAAAGAAGCTTATTTGCCATAAATGGTTTGTTAGAAGGAGCAATATCTATCCTTTTGTATTTTATATGGCGTGTGGGGAGATGATTTTCATAAAAAATTTCAAATTTTAGAAGAAAAAATTTTTAATTTTTTTTATTTCATTGAATTTTTAAATGTTATTACTGCTCCATAAACCTTAAAAGGCAGTCGGAACATTCAGGGCTTCGCCCTGATACGAGCAGTCTTGTTCTGAATTTGATTTTTATTTGTCCACTCGCTTATTGTAGCAGCTACAAAAATCGTACAATTGACTATTTGTTTTTGGATGTCGAAGCAATAAGTAAATTTAAAAAACAAATGTTCATACGAAGTGACAACTGTCAATTCAAAAAATTTTCTGTTTTCGAAATTGTATTACAAAACAAATGATTAATTTAATTCTTAAGACAAATGACAGGAACAACAAACACACTTATTCATATTTTCACCAGAACTTTTCAATTTTCATTCAGCAAAATTTTTAAAAAAATAATGGTACGAACAATATACATTAAATGTCTCAGCAGTTAAGTTGCAGTATCGGTCAACACAACCGCAAAGATCAAACAAAAAACCAAAATGAAAACGTGGCTCAACAAAATTTGATCATATTTTTTAAAGCAAAAACAGACTTCTAAAAACTTGACCTTACGTACAATATTCGAAACCAACTGGACTTTCGTGAACTGTTTCTCAAGTATGAACCAAACGATCATATTTTAGTTAGCAGAATTGAAACTTGTTTAAGTCTAATTAACCATGTCGGCCGTCAAGTATCATGTTTTTATGCCACGAAACAGTTTTTGAAGAATTCCAAAATCGGAGAAATTCAAATACAAATCCAACCTTTTTCACACATATACAGTGCTGATTTAAACTAACCGGACAAAACGTGTTAAACTTGAAATTTAAAACGCGTTTTTCTCAAATTGGGTTGAGTTTAGGTGAAAACTTATGAATACAAAACTTGCTTAAAATTTTAGCAGAATTAATATGGTGTAATTTGTTTTGCGAAATTCGGGCCCAAAATGTTACCCCAAAAATGAGTCATTTTGGCTTTTCTTAGTTAATCAAAAATTACGCCAAAAGTACCCATTCGATCACAGCCATAAGTATATCAAAGTGAGCCCCTTACCTAGCCCAACAAATTTTAAGAAAGGTATAATCTCCAAAAATAAATTGTAAACCGTTTAAAAATTGTTTTTAAATAAAAAATTGGTATTTTATATAGTAAAAACGACCTTTTTTGTCTATCAAGCAAAAATAAATTAATTTATACAATGTTTTGGAGAATATACCCTTCTTAAATTTTATTGGGCTACGTAAGGGGCTCACTTTGATATACTTATGGCTGTGATCGAACGGGTACTTTTGGCGTAATTTTTAATTAACTAAGAAAAGCCAAAATGACTCATTTTTGGGGTAAAATTTTGGGCCCGAATTTCGCAAAACAAATTACACCATATTAATTCTGCTAAAATTTTAAGCAAATTTTGTATTCATAAGTTTTCACCTAAACTCAACCCAATTTGAGAAAAACGGGTTTTAAATTTCAAGTTTAACGAGTTTTGTCCGGTTAATTTAAATCAGCACTGTAGTAGAAGAAACATGTATAAGTGATTACATGTACATCAGCATTCCGTAAGAATCAAACAAAACACAATCATCTTCACAGCACTTCTTTGAAAAAAAAAAATTCCTTTATAATCCAAAAATTACAACTCATCTTTTTACACATAAGATATTGATAATTACACTATCATATACAACATCAAACTATACGTGATTTAAATTATTCATCATAAGCATCAATTTATATTTAAACGTTACTTCCAAAATAACAAATTCAAGGAAAAACAGACAAAATAGAGCAGATAAATATTGAGGCATTGAAAGCGGCTCTGTATCCGGCATTACAGGATAAAGCCAAAGACCACGTCTTAAGGCGTCTCTCAACTGATGCGATATCCAGGCATTAACCAACGATAAAGCAGCCATTAAAGATAATTTCTGGTCGTTAACAGTCCAGTAAACTGCAATGTAAATAACAAAAGCGAGTAAAAATGTTAATGGCGTGTTGTGAAATGGCGGTCTTGAAGGTAGTGATAAAGCTTTATCTAACTTGAAAGATTTGGCAGAAAGAAAATGATCTATATCCATTGCAGATCCAAGAATAAATGCCACTTGAATGTTCCATTTTGGACAGTTTTGATTTCTTATTGACTTTCGGAGTGATTTTTGAGTTGTGATATTTGTGCTACTTGTTGGTCAAAAATAAAAACTTATTTCGAAAAATGCCACTTCAAAGTTTCAAGTAAGTGAAAATGTGTACGAGGTTATAAGCCGGCCGGGTGAATCACGTCCACGTCTTTTTGCGCAGAGCAATTTGCAATAAAAAAGAAAAAATGTTCTCGAATTTCCTTAACCAAATTGATTTTTCCAGCTCCATAAACTTCATTACTGAATCAATTCAGTGAAGAGAAAACATTGGTACAAACTACGCCAAAAATGGCCTTCAATCCCTCCCCACGTCAACGGAAATATTTTGGCAAAAACAGGTTTAATCAAGTGACAAGTGGTAATTTTTTGAGCGGTGAGATGGTTGCAATACTGAAATCGACCCTGATTTGTAGGAGACTTTAGCAAGCACCGTACAGCAATTTAGTTTCAAAAACAAAATAAAGAACATTTCAAATCCAATTTTTTTTGTGAAAAAACCGAGATTATAATATATCTTACAAAATGTAGTTTTATGTTCAAATTATACAGTAACATATTTCTATTAAGTGCAAATTACGACCACGTGCAGAGAGCCAAAATGAAGAAACTGTTTGAAGAGTTTGACGACGACAACAGTGGAAAACTAGACTGCAGAGAATTCCAACAACTGCTTCAGAAGTTCGGAATTTCATTGCCTTACGACCAGGTGCTTCGTTGTTGTTGTTGTGACCCCTATGGATAATTTGATCCAAGGTCATGTTGAGAACTCCGGTTAATTTCAAGCCCTTCCCTTTCCCCGAATTAAAAATTGTTAAGTTACCATTTTGTAGAACTTTATTCAAAACAAGAATTTTACCAAAATTTGTAAGCGTGAAAAATTGACTAAAAACCCAAAATGGAGGTAACCGATGCCATTAGAATAATTTTTACTCAGTTTTTTTAAATTTCTTGCATTTCAATTTCTTGTTTTTTTTATTCTGGGAGAACGGTAAGTAAAACATACCTCAGTAGGCGGTTAATACAACAATAACAAGTGTGTGAAATGCATCACCCAACAAACCGGTGGAAATGAAGAGCTAACTTTCGAAGACTTTCTGGACATTTACCCAAAAATCAAACCGAAAAGCTTCGAAGAGGAAATTCGAAATGCGTTTGAGCTGGTCGATTTAGGTATCAAATTCAGGCTCCTCAAATAAATCTTCGAAGCCTATTGAAACAATATAGTTCTGCTGAGAAGAAGAACTATGTCTGTGTTCACACTATTTAAGGAAATCCAGGTTTTGACCAATCAAGCTCAAAATTTTTGTGGAGACGATATTGCAAAAAAAACTTGAAGGCAGCTAGCGCGGAAAAGCCCAATCTTTGATCAAAAACCTCCAAAAAAAACAACTAAAATGACCACACTTTGCAAAAAACAATTGTTTCGGATAGCTTGGAAATAGAAAAAGACCGGGTTTAAAAAACACATTTGTTGACCAATGATTTTTAGTGATTCATTATTATTGCATGCGATGAATTTATTTGAAGATTCTGGAATTAAAACTTGACCTCATTTTTAGATGGAAGCGGCACACTAGGAAAAGATGAAATCAAACAAATGATGGTTTCGGCAGGTGTGAAAGATATTACAGATGCCGAAGTTGAGTTTCTGATTACGGAGTACGATAAAGACGGAGATGACGAACTTGACTTTGAAGAATTCAAGGCGTTCATGATGGATGACATTTCGGAAAGCAGAGGATTGTTTACTCGACCAGTAGCTACTAGCTCAGCGGAACAACAGCAACAATCATAAAAATAACGATCAGGCGAAAACGAATTGCAGATACCAGTGCAAAAATTAGCAAATAAAATAATACACTGATTTGAATAAAAAGTGAATGAATTGTATTGCAAAAAGTAGAGAAAAATTTTTTAGTTACTAAAAACTGATACCCCATTGACACAAGCATTTTACTTTCTCCCAAAAACCAAGTATAGCCGATTGCTGTGCAAGTACCACAATGTTCCGACCATATTCATAAACAAAAATTGGAAAAAAAAAGGTTTCTTGCCTTTCTACAAACTAGAGTCGTTTTCAGCGCGTGGTGTGATTCGCTAACTGTACAAACGCGCAGAAAGTTAGTGAATTTGGTAAGATCGAGAAAATTTTCCTTCAAAAAGAAATACCAAACCGAAAAAAAAAGACAAAAAAATTATATCGTTGCTTACGCGTTAATAGCGCAAAATAAATTATGCGTTAACTTTCCCAAACTGGCTATCTTTAAACCCCCAAAAACTTTACATAAAAGAATCACAGGTAAAAATTTCTTTCAGCTGAGAGAAAAAAAAATCGTCACAATTGGCTTGTTAAAAGTCGAAACCTGAAAAAAAACCGGTCATTTCTCCACTCCGTAAAATCTTTCTTGAAGAAATTCGCGATTAAAATTACGTTGATTAATAAAAACAGAAATGAAGCCTACATGAGCTGATTGAAGCTCGGTGAAAAAATCGTACGTATATACATGCTGAAAAACCACCAGCCAAAAACGATATTTTCAGAACAAAGACAGCCGGTTGCTGGGCAAGTAAAATAGAAAGCTCCAACATAAAATTATAAAATTTATTAAATTGTTTTGGTTTTTTGTCCGTGGTACTCGAAATTGGAGCACCGCGGAGCTCCGCAATACAGCTTCGTTTACTTATTCGGCTCTAGAATTTAATTTCAAATTATTGCTTGCGAAAAAAGTGTAATTGCAACTCGCAACCTGTTTATCATTTTATCTAAGGACGGTCTATAATAATAGTATCGTTTTTGTTGCTAAGAAACGAAAAATTTATTCTTCGCATTGATACAAAAATACGTCAAATCAAAACTGACCCAAGGAAAACAGCATAAGGTCTCGCCTCATAAACACAAAAACTAAAACGAACCATGACAAGCACGCAAGAAGCGCATGCTCAAAGTTATCCAATAACGCATTTAAAAAATTATTCTGTGGTTTACAAAATGCAGTAATAACTTCCAAGACGTATGCCAAACCCAGAAAAACAATTTCGCCAGCAAAAGCAGTCAAAATTCGGATAAAACTTGAAATCATTAGAAGGAACTTTCTGATTCGATCAATCGGAAACCATCAACGCTGAAAAATGAGAAGAATGGTAAAAGTGAGACTGAAGCAGTAAAGAGGATCGGAAACTGATCGGAAGTTTGACTCGCTATTTTGCATTAAAAAAATTATTCATCATGATAGCAAACTGATTTAGCATAATTCAGTTTATTGAAGAACTTTTTGGAGACTGCTAATTTGTTTTTACATAACACGTAAACCCACTTTATTGAAGATGCAAGTCGACCATTAATTTTTTTTTCGTATTCAAATGAACCAGAACGTCAGAATTTATCGTGGTACCGAAATTACTACATGGGTACTCGTTTAGAAGTATGATTCCGCCGTTTTTGTGGAGTCCCATTCAAAAAGCTCGTTTAGAAGTGTGGTCACGCGAGCCCATTTCAAGTGGGTGAAAACAAAAGGAAAACTTCTAATCATTTCTTCGATAGCTTTCCTTCAAATTTCCCTTTAAAATGGAATTATCAATTCACTGGCAAAACTTAGAAGAAGAAGAAGAAGAAAGAACACTTGAATTACTATACAATAAAAAGCCGAGGCATCAGTGTAGCAAAGTGTAAATAATAAAATTGGTTATAAATTCATTGGTTACATCAAACAAAAACAAAAACATCAGAAAACAAGCAATAAACAAAACAAAAAAAACAAAATCGGTTACAGTTCGGAAATTGGTTGATTAAAGTATATGAAGTTTCGGATACTATAGAAAATTTAAGATTTAAGAATTAGGAACAAGCTGGTAATAAAACTTTACAAACAATTTTACAGATAGTCCAATTATACAACGTATATACAGAGTATATACAGTTTCTCTTTCAAGCAATGTGTGAAAAATTAAACTGAATTAAAAAATATAGAACTAGCAAAAACGGTAATCACGCCACGTATTTGTATTAGTACATATAGGATTGTTTCTCAATTCACTCACGTAAAATTCTTTCAATTTTTTCTTGAATTCTGTTTTCGATTTTTCTAAATTGTGCAAAATTATGGGCAGTGAATTCCATTTTTTAGAAGTCAAATGAAAAAATGATTTTTGTAGAGAAGCAGTCGAACAATGTTTGTCAAAAATAATTTGTTTCGTTCTTTCGTTGAGCCTATAATTGGCAGTCGGTAGTCTCAGTGTATTTTCAAAAGCCTTCTTTTTGTTTGTAAGATATTGGTATAAGTATGTTATACACTTTAACTCAATTCTTTTCTCGATTCCAATGAACGATTTGCTAATGCGAAGAAGGGAAGAAGATTTAAAATTCGATCTGAAATATGTTCTTTTTAGCGCCCAGTTCAACTGTTTCTCCAGAGATAGCATCAAAGTAGCATTAATTTGTTGTAAAAAAATTGCTGAATAATCTAAATGTGATAAAACAAGACAATGAAGCAAGGCAACTAATGATAATGTCGGCAGTTGTTGTCCAATTGTATCAATAGTTTTAATCCCTTGGGCCATTTTTTGGAGAATTGTTTTGATTTGAGCATGAAAAGATAAACTTGAATCAAGAATTATGCCTAAATATTTGCATTCTGATTTTTTGGCTACATAATGCCCACTAATTACTAGTTTATCAGTATCCACATTTTTGCTATCATTTTTTTGACAAAATGTTATAAATTCCGATTTAGAGGCATTCAGATTCAATTGGTTCTCTGCAAAAAATTCCGTTAGATTATTGAGTGATTTTTGCAATCGATTCAAAGCATCCTCAGAAATTATAGAAGAGGAAAAAACCATACAGTCGTCAGCATATTGAACTAAAGTACAACCTTCATATAATCGCTCTTGTATGTCATTAACATAAATATTGAACAACAACGGACCAAGTACCGTTCCTTGTGGGACACCTCGTTTTATTTCAATCCAGTCTGAAAAAATTCCATTGACGTATACTCTTTGAATACGTTTGTTTAGGAAGCTAGCAATTAAAGCATTTGCTCCATTTGAAAAACCGAGAGAAAGCATTTTTTCAATTAAAACTTCATGCGAAATAGAATCAAAAGCCTTGGACAGATCTAATAAAGCTGCATGTACGATTTTTTTTGAATCTATTTGATTTCGAATACTTTCTGTCACATAAACAAGAGCATCTTGTGTTGAAATGTTTTTGCGAAATCCAAATTGAAATGGTGTCATTATTTGAAATTTGTCAAGATGTTCTGTTATTTGGGCATGTAAAATTTTTTCAAAAATTTTGGAAAAAGCACAAGTTATTGATATTGGCCGATAATTTTTTGCATCCATTGGGTCATCTTTTTTGAACAAAGGGGTTACGTTTGCTTTTTTCAGTTCGATCGGGAAAATGTTCTCATCTAAGCAAGTATTTATGACAAAAGTTAAATGTGGAACTATAACTGATTGACCGTCAATGATTGCCCAAGCAGGTACGGTACAAGGTCCGAGAGGTTTTCCAACATTGATTTTTCGAACTATATCAAAGCATTGCTTCACTGTAATGTGTTGAAAATGAAAAGGTGCAGATTCAGAGGCAGATTTGTTGTAATTCGGAGGCTTTTTAGCGCCGAAAAATTCGCCTAAGTTTGAAAAAATATAATTTAAATGATTGGCAATTTTTTTGTCTTGGGTTATCATTTCACTGAAAGAATTTCGTAGAACTGTAATTCGATTGTTGCCAGAACATGTACCTCTAACTTGGTTAATATATTTCCATTTTTTTTGGATAGTGCTGAGAAGTGAAAAACAATTTTTTGAATGATCGAATTGTTTACTTCTAATCAATTGGCTCATTTGATTACGTAAAAACTGGTACTTTGACCAATTATCGCTTGTGCTTTGACTGCGATATGATCTGAGTGAATTCTGTTTCTTAGTCAACAATTGCTGACATTCTGAATCGAACCATTCCGTTTTCAACACGTTTTTTGGTTTAAAATTACGAACAAACTTTTTTTCGATAGGAGCATGTTGCTGTAGAGCACAAGAAATTAAATAAATCATTGTCGAGAACATGTTTTGTGCGTCTGTACATTGATATAAGAGATACCAAGGAAGAGCGGAGAGTGAATTGCAAAATTCATTTTCCTGATAATTTTTCTTATTGAAAGTCGAAATTATCCTCGGTAAAATTTTGCCGCATTTTATATCCGTCAAAATAAATGAAGCAAAATGGTCGGTTTTATAAGGTGTATCAAAACAAAATTCAATGCCGTTTGTTTCATAGTCACTGATTATGTAGTCGATATGAGTTTTTGTTGAGGAACTAATTCTGGTCTCATCGTTTGGACAAAAAACCTTCAATCCATATGGAATAATTATAGAATCTAAATCCAGAGAATAGAATTTATGTTATAATCACCCAAAAGCGTAATTTTATTAGAAACTGAAAAAGCATTATCTATGTTAAGCGTTAATTGTTCCAAAAATCAATAAAGTTTGATCTGCTTGGGTTATAACACAAATTAACTAACATTTTTTCTTTACTCGAAATGTTAAATGTAGATTTGCACTCAACCCACACTGACTCATATTTTTTTTTATCAAATAAATTTAGATCAGGCCTCAATTTCGGAGCCAATTTGACTGGTATATATAACAAAACGCCACCGCCTTTCTTTTTTACCGCTGATTGCCTATCATATCTGAACATCGCATGCGTTCTAGGTTGGAAATTCCATAAATTATCACTATCTTCTTTTTTAAGCCACGTTTCGGAAATTCCTATAATTGTGTTTTCGCCCATATCATCAAGAAATTTTTTCAATTGCATCCGTTTTCTAATAATACTTTGAAAATTCAAATGAACAAATTTAAGATTTGCACAATTTTTTGAGCAGATACCGTAGACTGTTTCAATGGTTTCGATAGGACCAGGGTTTTTTTCAACATCCCCACTTTGGGTCAGTAACAACGCGAAAAGGAAAAGATGAGTCAGTGTGGTAGCTCTCCGCTCATTTATTCCACATTTCGTTGATAATATCTTTTGCTGGCAGCTTAGATAGCCCCAGTAAACAATAGTTTTTTCTTTAGTTTCCATCTGAGCCTTGGAAATTAGAAAAATTGCACAAAACAACCAGAATTTAATATTCAGCATAATAAGTTAAATAAATTAAATAATCGCCAAAGTTTGCACCAAGAAAAAATGCGAAACTAGTATTTCCTAAAAAATTTTGCACCGTTTTGGAAAAATTGTAACATTTCTGCCGTTTTTGGATCTAAATTTGATGATTGTTGGGTTTGCTTCATTCTGGGGCGGGTTGTAATCTCACATGTGTTTGCATTAATATCAGAACCTCTAAAAGAATCTCTAAAACTTTGCACCAAAATTTCAACACCCCCATCAGAAGGATGCAAACCATCCGAGCTAAGAGCATCGGTATTTTGACTAAAATTTTTGTTTATGTCTAAAATATCCAATTTTACTTCGCCCAAGTCTTTTACATTCCGTACTAAATTACGAATTTGCTTGTTTAGCTTCTGTACATTTGGATTAAAATCTTTTCTAAAAGCGCCTAAGGGAGTTACAGTACATAGTGAAATTGTTTCTGGGGAGAATTTATGATTTATGAGATAAATTAGTT